AAACAAGCTCACCAAAATAACCACCCGTGCTATTAAACCTGGGGTTTTTTTAACCTTTAATTTCTAAACAAGATTCCAAGTGTGGTAGTAAGTATTTATTCAGCAAACATTCCTGCAGAAGAAAAAACTAAAGGTCACGTCAGGTTAATTTGTAACTGGGATAGTCAGGAATGACATCAATTGTTTTACCCTGAAATCATTAAAACATTGGGCTACTTTTAGAATGTTATTTTCCTAAATAATTTCCGTAAGTCCTTGCCTGTCTTGTCACAGGGTTTGAGTGAAGATGTTTTCTTCAAGTAGTTATTGAAGAAGGCAGAAAAATAATCCAACCTTGCTAGATAACAGCACACACATCTAGGAGGAGATTAAATGAACCATCTCAGTTTTATCTTTAGAAAATACCACATCAGAAAACACAATCTTATGGTTTAAATTTTTTTTTTTTTTAAACCTGCCCAGATAAGCAGCAGAAACCAGGAGGTAATCATGAAGTTTCCATGAGCAATGATAAATAAATTCTCTGCTTTTTCCTTCCAAGATGCAGCTCTTGGCATGTTTCCTTTTCTCCGGGAGGACTCATGTCTGGGCCTCCATCCCATCAGGCACTTGGAGGTGTGAGGTTCAGCCTAGCTGGGCTCAGTATTCATGAAAATAGAAACTGGGAGCTACCTTTTTGGCAGAAAGGTGAACCATGTATGTGATCATAAATACCAGATCTGAAGCTGGCTCAACCTGTAGCCTTTGGGCACAGCTATAAACGTAACACACTTGCACATGTTTAACACAGCACTGCATAAACATGCCCAGTAAAACACAACAGGTCAGCTGCAAAAACAGATAAAACATACATTTGGTGCCCTGGTTGAATGCTTTGGCAGCCACTAACCAAACTCACTAAGAGCAGTATTTAATGTGGTTTCTTAAGGGTGACATTGTCATTACAATCAGTCACAAAAAAGATGAGGGATTGAGCTAAAAAAACTGAGTGTGAACTGTGCTGTGCCTCTACATAGGGAGTGAGAGGATCAAACAGCTTTAATGATTTCACAGAAGTGGTCAAACACACAAAACCTACCACACATATTAGCCAAAGTACTTCTCGTCACTATTAACACCTCTCATTTCTTTTGTGCAGTTTTAAAGAAGATGACATCAAAATAATCACACAAGGAAATGCAGCAGCTACAGCTTTGCTGATAAGCCAGGAAGGCTTCGCAAGTGTCTCCAGCTGGGAAGTTTTCCTTTCTCCCAGGATGCCGGGAAATTGTGCTCTCTCATAGCCCTGGAACAGTTACAACACCCCAAGGACAAACTTTGCTGTTACTCACCTCCTCCTTAGTGGAGAAAACCCCGTAGGGGAGATTTTGGAGAGAAAAATCCGAGTCCTTGTCTACCTGGATGAAAGACATGCTGAACACTGAGCACTCCCTGCTCACGGATGACAGCACCCACCTCCCGGGTGCTACACGCCTTCCGAGGAGGAAGATCCCCTCCAGGTGTTGTAGCCCAGGGCAGGAAAGCATCAAATCCCACCCTCTGTCCTCAGACACAAACCAATCGCTGCTCAGTCGCCATCCCACCCCTCTGTCTGCTCCCCTGGCAGGTTAATCAGTGCCAGAGCTTTGCCTGAGTCAGCAGCTGTTGATTGCTCCCAGCCAGGCAGTGACCCTGGGGAAACAGGGTCTCCCTGCCCACAGTTACCTTTCCTGCAGGCATTCAGAAGATGTGTAGATGTGGCACTTGATTTAGGGGTGGACTTGGCAGCGCTGGGTTAACTGTTGGACTGGATGATCTGGGAGGTCTTTTCCAACTTTAATGCTTCTACGATTCTATAAACCCTCACATGAAACTGAGGTCTTCCTGAAACGGGTACCTTGCTGTGGGTGAAGGATGTGACCAGACAGCTCCAAGACCAGAGGGAAACCCACTCATTTACCTTCTGAGGGGTCACTTATGTGCCAGGATGCTGGTGAAATGATTATGCCCACGCTGAGCAGTTCTCCCACGAGGAGCTCAGCAGTCCTTGAAGTTGGACAATTCACACCCGAAACTGCACTTTGTGTGTATTTTAGTTTTGCAGTGCTGCACCTCTCTGAGTCCTTCCACTTTCCCCAGATAGTTCCAGCAGCTTAAAACCAGAGATAAAAGTGCAGCCAACCATAAAGACCAGGGAGGCCGATCCTTCTGCTTCCAGTCCTGACTTTCTCCCACCTGCAGGAGAAAATCCACCCATTTTCAGAAGTAGAAACCACTGAGGGAAATATCCTTGAAATTAGAACTAAATAGCAAAGACCACCTATTTCCAATAAAAAATTAGATATTCGTGACTGCCAAGCCAAGGCATTGGTTTCCTGCTCAATTTTTTTTTTTTTGGCAGTCATCAGAAGAAATGCATAAAGTTTTACAGCCAGAGATTTGTGCAAGATGATACAACAGCACCCATGACAGCCCATCTGTGTCAGCCACTCACTAGTGGCTCACAAGGTGCTGTTTAAAAGGGGTTCTTCTTTAAATAATACGACACATAGCACAAACTTGGGGAGAATTTCCTGTGAAGTTCCTGTACCTAAGGTACAACTCCATTCCACTGGCTGTTGGAATTATTTTAAACACAGTGAAAATGTTTCATAGCAACATTGGAGGATTTGGGTTATAGAACCTGCTTATTCCAAAAATGAAGCAAAACCACATTGAAAGCGTGTTCCAAAACACCCTGTCCAATGTGAGAAGACATTTACTCAAGCATTTTGTAGTGTGAATATGCTGGTGTTAATTAAAATGTTAACCTGCTAACCTCGAGCTGATGACACAAAATACAGAATGAGAAGCAGATCAGCCACCAGGATAACACAGAGCCAATGCCAAAGCAAACAAACATGACACGCAATTCTCAGGTGTCAGGGAAAGGTGGATTTCCAGTCCAAATGCAAGTTCATGCATCAGGAGCATATACTCTTTCCATACTCTTAACTCTGAGAGACCTGCACAAGCCAGGCCAAAGGAGGTTTGCTAGATGGCTTGGAGAAGGACAGGTGTGGAAGCAGACCTGCCTCACTGTGGGCACTGCCAGGAAAGGATCCTGCAGGCACAGCTCCATTTCCTGCAGTGTGATCAGGAGCCAGAGGTTGTTGCTTTTTAACAGGTGGTGGTAAAGGTAGTGTGTGAATTCCAAAGGCAGTCACTTTTGTTGTATCATTTCTTTTTTCAGTCTCTCAGACACCAGAAAATACAAACATCACTCACTTTCCCCTCATCGTGAAATCTCTGGTGTCTCCACTCTGCTTGGCCCAGGAGTATCAGTCATGTCCAAGGCAGATTGGTGGGGAGGGTGCACAGGGGAGAGAAAAGGACACACTCAGGAAAAGGGAGAGACCAGAAAAAGGGAAGAGGGAGAAATCAAAGTGGATTAGAGAATAGGGAAGTAGCAAAAGAGGAATCCAAACAAACACCCACCAAAGATGATGCTGCTGCTCTTCCACGGTCTGTGCTGTGTAAGAGGAAGTGTTCTGAGGAAACACAGGATCTCTGACCCCTGATAAGCCAGGCCATTACTGAAACTTGCCAGTCAGAGTTATTTATTCCTTCCTTTATAAAACCCATGTGCTCATAGATTATGGTTACAACATTTTTGCAAGCACAAGCTGCTTCATTTATTATTGGGTCTTGCAGATTACTTTCTATAGCTACCAGAGAAAGCTCCTTCTGCTGCACAGTTTATATCCCAAATGTAGTGCTTTATCTACTAATTGCCAGCCATAGCTTTTAGAAAGCATTCTGAATTTTAAAGGATGGAGCCAGCTTTGATTAAAAATTTAATGTTTTAAATAAAGCCATGCAATTACATTTATTTCACAAATGCTTTAAAGCAACAGCAAGTCAGCCAGTGAAATTTCAACTGCAGATCAGTACCATTTGGAGGAAGTTGGTGCTACTTTAGTGTGGTGTTAGGTTTGGTGATAAGCAACACTGGCTGAAGTTTCCCTGGCACTACAGAAACCACCTCAAAGTTATGGAGAAGAGCAGGGGGGTTGAAGGGTTGAGGCACAGACTTTAATCTCACGACACCTGAAGAAAGACACTTACTGAGCACCTTCACAAGACAATAAAAGAACAATTCCTCCTGCAGTGCTGTCTGTCAGATAGTGGATCCCAAACCCCACGGTTCAATTTCCTAGAACCAGAATCACACCCATGGCTGCTCCACATCTCCACTGATCACATCAGTTTTACCTGCAGGTCTGCCCCAGCTCAAGTACATTGTCACAAATGACCCAAACTCCTGCATATGAGTGACACACTGCATGGGAAGCACTCCCTGGGCAGAAGCAACACACAAAGTAAAAAGCTTCTGGAAACTGGTGTCTGATAGTTACAAGTGAAAAGGTTAAAAAAAAAAAAAATCAACAGTTAGTTGGCATTGGGATACACATGATTGCTGTGAATAAATACACTGTAAGTAAAGAAATCACCAGTGGAAGGTCCCCATTAAAAGAAAGCAAGAGAAATCCAAGTTATATATGCCAGTGACAGCCACAGGGGCTCAGATTTTTTTAAATTTTATTTAATCAAAGTTAAGACGTGGATAAACATAAATACAGCACAGGTACTTCAGATCATTCTTCATATTTGTGTACAGACAAACTGATGGATGAAATCCCAATGAAAACTGCAGTCAATGAAGTGCATACAGCCTTCCCCCCACACACACAAAAACAAACCCCAATTAAAAAAAAAAAACAACAAAAAATCCCCCACACAATCTCAGCACACACTCTCATTACAAATGATTCATACATAAATAGGTAGAGGGTGCAAACAAGCTAATATGCGAACATGTATAACCTCTCGTTAATGGGAAAAAAAACCAGAAGCAGCCATAATGATTAAAATACATTCAGTTACTGATAACTAGTTGTGCCATACAAGGCATTATCAAAAAAAAAAAAAAAAAAAAAAAAAAATGTGTGTGCCAGAAAAGACATAAACAAAAAAAAAAAAAAAAAAAAAAAGGAAATTGTGCTGCAGAGAAAAGCTATATACAACAAGAAAATAAACTGCAAAGTTAACGCATGCATGTTTTATCCTGGAAAAGCACAGCCCTCCAATATTTTCTCCACGTTTGTTATAAAAGCCCTCTGCACTCAACTAAAATTAAAATGATCTTAAAGGATAATATTTGTAAAGTTTACTTAAGTCTTCAGCCACAGAAAACTGCAATGAAAATAATGTTCAGAGTCATTTTCAAAACAAAAAAAAACGAAAACAAAAAAATCTATTCATCTGATGACATGCATGATTAAAAGGTCTAGGCAAGATACACTGCTCTACGTTCCTGATGACTAAGGAAAAAAGCTCAAGTCAATTTAATCTGCAGATGGTCAAAGGATTTTTGTATTCCAGCAGAAGCAGCAGTTCAGATCTTCTGGATCTTTTCCCCAACAACTACAGGATTCTCTTTTCTGATCTTCTCAGCAGCATCAGCTTTGTAATTGTAAGAGCAACTGTGTACATCTGAGTAACGGTGCATTCCACAGTAAACGTTCCCACACCGACATTCGAACCCTGTGGACAGAAACAGCAGCTTAGACATTTCAACATTCTTAATTACACTGGCTTGTTTTAAATCCTGAATGTATTCACTCACTAGCAATAAATCTCAGTCACCAGTGTCAATCAGCCAAAGAGCCTCTGCTGCAGAAAGCATAAGAATCACAAATAATACATTTTCAAGTGATCACAGGAAGATTTGATTTGACCATTCCTTCCTATCACACAATACACTAGTATAGAACATATTCCTAGACACCTCGTGCTCTTTTCTTTCTTTATGAACCTTCACCCTGCAGAACTCAAGTTCTGAGGCCCTTTCACTTGACCACTGCAAAGCTGGTTAGTGAAGGGCAGCAAACTATCATCCAGTTCCTCAGCTAAGCAGAGTTCCTAAGGGAAGTATTTGGAATTATGAACTTCACTTAAAGACAGGAGGCTGAAAAACAAAATAATACATGAATAACTAATCTAGCAAGAGTCAGCAGAAAGCATCTTTGACTAAGTGTTATCTCAAATCAACATCGAGACGACTATGCCCCATCTTCCCTTTAAGAGAACATTTCAAAGGTCCAAGGCTTTGAACAACAAATCTCAGAAAACTGAAATCAGTATTTCTTACCAGTAAGTCCAACCTTCTTCCTGCACATGAAACAACGATTCTTTTTCTGTTTTGGTTTGTCAAGCGACTTGTCTTGTTCTTCAGGTGTAGGCTCTGCATTCTCTGACACTGAAGCTGACATTAAAGAAGTTAATAAGAACAGTGGAAAAAAAAGTCTGTCTCTCCCCTCCTCTAAGTCCTACAGTAATTTAAAGTTCATGATGTACAATTAGCCATTTTTCTGCAGCTTCCATGCCTGAAGTGTAATGGTGTCTCAGCAGTGACTGCAACTCCCTCCTTCTAGACCGTCAACATAATTTAAGGGGAGGATTCACTACATGCTCACATAAAGTTCACAATACAACAACACCATAAAAAACTCAGAGTAATTAAACATTAGGTTTAAGAGTAAGATTCAGATATGGGAAGAAAATCCAGCACCCCAGTGTTTCCCCACAGTTTACCAGCCCAGTTCCCACAATCTGCTTGTAAGAAGCACTGTATGTAACAGGATTGGTTGAGCCAAACACTCTCTTTCAAATCCTGAATCAACACTATTTTTGCTGAATGGTGCAACACTGAGACCACATAGAATGCAGTGTTTCAGAACAATCTCTACCACTGTGATGCTGCTGCTCTTGCACACCTGGAAAAAGTCTACACAGGAGCTAGTCACTACCTGGGGTGAGAAACATCAGCTCTGGATACACAGACTTACAGGGAGGAACTACACTGTCCTGAAACACAGAAGGAAGCAGGTGAACACCTAATTTTAGGTGTTCACCTGCTTTTGCTAAGGCAGGTGAACCTACTTTAATGTTCTCTCACATCTAAAAGAAACAGGTTATAGGTTGTATGGGAGAATACAAACAAGTAATGGTAGTATTTGCCTGACCCAGGTAAAAATAGAAGTTGGCTGCTTTTCCTCCAGTATTTGCACATTCCTTACACTACAAAACAGAAATAGAAATCAAAACCCCCAACTTCATTTCAAGAAGGGCTAAGAGCCAACCTCTGCCTAATGAGACCACAGCAGAACAAGTCTCCAGTGAGTAAGGCACACAGAAGTTAGGAGTATTTGCAGCAAAGAACAAAAGCAAGCTCCAGCTGGGAGAAATGTCAATGCAAGCAGAGCTAGAACCAGTACTGTGAGGAAAGGAACACAACAGTAAGCTCAGACATTTGTCAGGGAAAAAGCTGCAGGAATCTGTGCAGTTGGACTTTTGTTCAGCAGAGACTGTCAGATGCAGTTCTGTGCTAGTTCTACGCCAGTCGACAGCTCTTCTGCATGACAATCCCAGTGGGGTTTTTCCTGTGCTGCTATTCTGATGATTTTTTATTTTTAAAGGAAAGGGCACATATAATTTTGTCTATGTATCAAAACATAGTCTGTACTAAGCAACATCAATGGGTAGCAAGATACCTGATCACCAGCAAAGACTTTGCCTGAGGGGACAGTATATTCCACAAGTTCATCTAGCAAAGATACTATTACACATGGTTTATTAAATCCTTTTAAATCACCATGTATGTTACAAGAAGAGCTTTTCTTTGTCCTGAAATTTCTAACAATTGATAGTTGGCAAAAAAGCTTCAATGGCTTTAAAAGGCTGTAAAGGGCACATTCCTGAGTGGACAGATAATATCCAAAGGTTTTCAAGATAAGAATCAAAAGCAGCAAGGACTAAAATAGGAGAGATAAGTACCAGAAGGGGCAAGCAAGACTTACTCAAATGAACTTTTGCAGCTTTATATGAAACAGACATTGCAGTGTTTATTAATTCATTAAGGCAGCTCCATGCCATGAATTAGCCTCTAGCAGCTAACATTCTCAAGCTTGCATTTCCTGTTGTAGCAAAATCCAGTTACCTCAATATAAGTTTCACTAAAAGCCTCTGTAACTATTTGCTAAATTTAGGGAAAACTGGCACTCTTCCCTGCATAACAAGGCTCTCATACATACTTACATTTTCTTTGTGCGTATGGCTCTCACATTAAAAAGGTTTAAAAATATTTAAGAGCTGCTGCTCAGTGTAGAACTGAGTGGGAAGATTCTTCTACTGTGCCACAAGTCACTCACTTCGTATCTACTGTAGTAACCATAAATTTTAGGTCTCAATTTGCACAGAAGCCAGAGATTTGACTCAAAATCCTCGATGACAATCATGAATATCCCAACCACTAAGACACCCTTAGATGACCAAGTGCCAGTGGTTCAGTGCTCAATCTATAAGCTAGCTGTGATGACCACAACAGAATAAAGGCAGGTAAAATACAAGACTGCCCAGCAGCTTGGAGCTTGCAGGAAACATGTTGCAGCCACTCCCAGCTGCTGGACTTCATCTGGATTCCAAGATGCTGCTGCCTGCTTTCCTTGAACAAAAGTCCTCCCTTCCCCCAGCCCCAGCTCTGCCTTTAGCCAGAGCACAGAAGCACCGGCAGCACCAGTACAGGGTGCCAAACCAAAAAGGAGTAAGGCATGAACACACACTCATTTTTCTGGAGCTGACAAGTTGAGTTGGCTGCTAAAAGTCCCCTGATTTACAGAACGTGTTCTTAGCAGAACAAGCAGAGTCTGGATTTCCTCCTAAAGGTAGAAGCTTTTCCTGCTTCTTTGTTTGTGCCAACCCTGCCTGAACTTCAGTGTGCTCTGGCTGACCACAAAAACAGCACCCGCAAGACAGAGCTCACTCCAGCCCTTGCAAATCCCTGAAGGCACAACTCAGCTCCCTGTGTGTGCAGCAAGACTCCTGACACCTCATCTGTTCTCTTCTCTCTTTGGATGTTTTACATTTATCACCCCTGCATAACTAGGCAGAGCCTCTTAAAGAAAAAGGTTCCTTATTCCCAAGGAAGAGAATAAAAAGCTACATTTAATTCTTAAGAGCACCTGATTAGATGGCCTAGGAAGAAGAATCCCCACTCCACCAGACGAATGAAATGTGAAGTTAATCCTAAGCAGAAGATCACTACTTCCTAACATTTTAACACTAAACTCAACTAATCAGCCTAAAATACACTATTTCAATGTTAGGAAGAGGCAAATTAACTAAGAGCACACTCATCTACAAAATTTAGCTTTAAATCTTTCCGTTGAATGTTTCCTCTCTCCCTGGAGCATTCATCCAGTATATCAGAATATCCTATACTGTTTTCTAGACTTATATCATAGTCATACTCTACCTCCCTGGTACTATCACAAAAATCTCAAGTATCCATCAATTCCTTTCCCATACTGTCTATTGAACCAGCCCTGATGAGGTCCACTGAAACTAAAGCCTTTAGTTCAACTACATTCACCTTTGGTCCAGGTTACCTCCACGCAAAATGCTGCAGTAGTTTAACTGTTTTAGTATCAATTTTTTAAACTTAGTCATCAATGACTGAATTAAACCGGTTTACCTCACTAAAACCTAAATGTGCCCAGTTATTCAAACCTAAGTTTGTACTCTGATTGTTCAAAATAGTAACCACACCACATCACGTGAGTGATGGCATTTTGCAATGCTCCTCTCCAACTCACAATAAGTTTAAAAATCAGAGGGGCTGTTCTGGCTTTCACAAGTTTTCAGCCCCAGACAGGTCGAGAGCCCATCTGTTAGTTCAGTTTATACTTTTAGCCCTATATTCTTCACCTGTAAGAGCTCCATAACGTATGTGCTGGAGTGCTCCTGCCTTCCACGACAAGTTTCTTTTACCTTTGAAAACCGCCCTGAAATACAAGGCATGAATCCTAACCTGGATGGTTTTAAACTCATTAATCCTAGGGAAGGGAAGTGCCTCTTTACCCGCTTGCAGGCTTGCTGGGAGGCAGCCCAGTTAATCCTCTGGCTAACAAATCAGGAATCCTGACTGGCTAATCCTAACAGGGCTGTAATGTTAAGCAAAAGGTACAACAGCCCAGGAGGCAATCTAAAATGAGTTGGAGAGATGCTCAGAATAGAAGACAGCTTCTAGAAAAGCTGGATTGTACTTAATGAGTTTCATTTTAGGTCATCTTTAATGGTATCTTCATGGTATTTAAGAACATTAAAGTTTAAAAAAAAGTCTAGTACTACTATCTAAGAACATCTGAGCTTTTTGCAGTGTTGCATATCTACAAGTATCACCACGGAAATACTGACTGTAAAGTCTAGACTTATATTCTATAGTTTTTCCTCTATTCTTTTGCAATGCATAAATCAAAGAAAAACAGATCTGAACTGCTCTTTGGGATTTTTATCCCCTCATAGTTTTAGCTTGTCTGCAAACAGCAAGGACTGCGTGCACACAGCACAAGTCCCATTTATCTGTCTGCTTTAGAAAAGTAATAATAGTAATCTAAGAAAGCTTAATTGTTCACCCAATCTTTCTTTCAGTGCTGTTGTAGCCTGGTAATTTTTGTTTTAATGGTAAGTTACGGGGAACTCAACTAAATACAATACATGACCTTACACAAGCAGCATAGAACAATTTGCCCCAGAATTCCCACAAGGCAAGATTTTAGCAGAATAAATACTGAACAAGTCATTAGAACAGACATAATTTCTCCTTTTCTTACCCTAAATCAACAGAAGTAGCATTAGATGCTCTTCAGTCTGGGACCAATTACCACACTGTTGTGACTTTTTAATTTTTTTTTAGTGCTAGAAAGTCAGGCAATACTAAAAGAACTCGGATTCACATGTTTGTATTATATTCTTGACAGCAGCCTGAAATTCAAATGTGGGGAAAATAAAAGAAACTTTAGGATGCACAACTGTGACAGCAATTCAATGAAATCCTCTTAGCATTCATTCTAAGCTGCTTTCTTTCCAAACTTACATTTTCAAATCAAAATATTTAAACCTGGAAACACTACATTTCCTATAATTTTCAGTTAAGGGATAGCACAGAAGAAACTCCTCAGGAAATAAGGCTGACCCTGCCACAGTGAGTTATAAATAGGGACTGTAATTTAGAACTGCAACTACATGGTGGTGGTATTCTTAGTTTAGAAACTAGGGTACAAAGAAAAGGACACAGGACTCAGCTGAGTAATCTAAACACCTGATATAGGTTGATCCTTGAAGCACATACTGTAAAAAATGAAGATATGCCCCCCAATTAAAAGCTTTAAGTTGAGAAACCTATCTTACCTTCTACTAAGAAGAATGAGCTTTAAAGGTGGAGAATTAGAAGGAGCACAAATTTACCCAAATGAGTAAGAAGTGAACCTTGAGAACCATCTCAAAGATTAGTAAAAATAGTAAAGCATTAAAAACTTTTCTCCTAAGTTTTACAGTCACTGTTTGTGTGACCAAGGACATGGCCTTACCCAGCACAGCAGCTGACTAATGACTCTCACATTCCACCCCAAAAAAAGGGACAGGTCAGGTTTAGAAATATGAGAAGCAAAACTTTGATACCAGAGGTACACTGAAAGTACTAATATTTAGCATCTTTAAGTGGAATTACAAGTTGTATCTGTGGAAAACCCGAACTCTTATGTTTAGACAGAAACATAACTTCACCCACTAAAGCCTTAACTGTGTCAGCAGAAGTAAAGGCAGAATACTTACTGACTTACCTTTAAATACTTTTTATAATGTCTACAGGTTACAAATCTGAGCACATTTTGTATATTATCTGGCATTTTTGCATTTCCGAAAAAATATTATTAAAAATTTTTAGTCTTAAGCTCTGAAAGCTTGCACAGAGAAGAAAGTAAAAAAACCAAAACCTTTACACTGTACCAGCAATAAGGATTTTAGGCCAATATAGTTAAAACAACCCACTCAGCCATTTTCCTTCAACCAAGCATAGTCTGTGGTTTGGTAATTTTATATTTGATAAAATGAATTTTAGCAGGTCAAAATATTACACCACTACAGTTCATAGGTGAAAGGTTCTTTTGTAGGTGTTTTCTGTTTCTAAAAGATATTAAAGCTGTTTTTGCAATGGTTATGTCATAACACCCTCTATCACAAATATGCTCATAAACCTCTGGTATCTGCTGCAAATGGTTCCTCTGAGAGGTAGCAGATACTCAAGACTCTACTTACATGTAATAGCTGTGGCATAAAGACAGAAAAAAAATGTTGATTTACAATGTGCATTTCCAACACCAATTAACACACTTGTTATGGCAGATACTGACATCACCAGTGAAACATAACAGTTTTCAGCTTGACTTGCCTTTTAAGAAAAGAAAGTTTATCCTTATTTTGCCTCCTGATTTCACAGAACATTTGGGTTTGAGAATCAGCCATCTCTTGAACAGGAATATATTAAGAACAGTCAAAGTTTAAAAACATTATTCCTAAGTTCTCCCTCTGAAAACTAGGCACCAACCTTGCAATTCTTCTGTCTCGGGTACTGTTTTGTCCACAGCCGTACTATCCGGTTGGGATGATGCTACAGATTCTGTTAAAAGTGACTGACTTGACACAGGGCTGGGGGGCAAAAGAAGACAGTTACAACTTTTATGATGCATTTCCACGTTCTTTTCCTGAAAGGGATACATTAGAGCACCTCTTGATGAAAAAGCATGCCAGAACTTCTCACACTCTGAAGTTGTTTCTATAATGATTTAAAAAACACCACAACCTCAACTGACAAAAAAGGTAAACATTTTTTGCATTCATACTAAATGCAATAAACCAGTTCAACTATAAAAAGGGAAATATTTTGGGTAGTTTGGCATACCATCTTTTTACACAGAAGCAACAATGCAACATTCAATATGCAAGGATTTTTATAACATAAGTCAGCAAGATAATTGTAGAGGAGCTACTTTTGGTGTTCTAGTGATAGGAATGAGAAGATTGCAGCATGTCTATGTTTCCAGCAATAAAGCAGCTGCAGCTGCACACAGAACCCTTTAGATTTTCACAGCATAGAGCAGTGCTGGCCAAACCTCCCCACCCTGTCAGTCACACTGTTAAATCACAGCCTGACTGAAAACTCACAGCTGAACACCCTGAACAGACATACAAGAAACCAATTCAATACCCGCAGTCGCTCCCAGCCAAGCTGCTCATCCAGGACAAGGCAGACCTGAAGTCCCAAGCAGGAGGTAGCCCTACCTCATTCACATTATTTGTTTCTTCCTTTCCACTTAGGGATTCACTTTGAAGTCAAACAATTGGATTATTGAGCAGCCCATGAGCCAGCAGACCATGACACTCCCCTAGCAGAGGTCCACAGCACAACCAGAGTACTCGAGTTGCAATTTTAACAGCCAAGAACTGCACAAAGGTCTTCAACTGCAGCTTTGGTTACACTGTCAACTTACTGTATGTGTCCTCAGAGTATTGTAAGTCTGAGGTATTCCCAGAGACTGAAGTTGAATTCCTACTTTTTATTTTGGAGAAAAAGCCAAATAAGTGACACCAATTCTTTTGAAGTACAAGTCCAAGAGCAACCATCCACTTATTTCTCCTGCAATCAAACCAGTGATCAATGAGGTGCTTTTATTCTCTTTCATGATTCTACAGAAGTTGTATGAGAACAAAGCCAAGGCACTGTAATTGGTTCAGATCTGTGCACTGACCTGGATGATTTTTCTTTTTATTACACACACCAGAAGAGTTGTTTCAAGGTAAGATATATATTTTCTATCCCAACTAGAAGTCTCAGAATGGAAAGACTAAATATAGCCTCAAGCATGGCACCTAGCTCTCGGTTCATATGCAGGATCCAAGCACGAGATAACACATCCTATAAAAAGCTAGGGAGCAGAAAACACAGTCTGAGCAGAATCAGCCAGCAATAACTGATGAAATCACCCTCAACCTGTGTTTTACTACATTCTGATTTTAAAAAAAAAAAAAAGTTGGAATGAGTATTTCTGCAAGTTAGCTTCCATAGTGTAACACACTAACACTTTTCACTCAAAAAATTTCCAAAGCACTTGAGTTGCTATTGGTTGTGTCATTCTGAACTGAAATGCTGCCACTAAATACAAATATTTAGCTTTTACAAATGGAGAACACTTAGTAAGTCTGAGTAGTTTGTAAGAGGACATTATGTATCCTTGAATAATCCAGATGGAAATTACTTGTTTAATAAGAAATCAGTCCAGTAGCACAACATGTACCAAGATTCAGAGATCAGTTCAGTAGCATAACTTGTACCAAGATTCAGATATCCTTTCCCTGTCCTAGTACTCTCCAATCTTTGTGAAACAACTGGCTCTTAACACACTATCACACATTTATTTATGAAAGCTCTAGTAAGCAGCTCTCTGCCATTTTAAAAAACCCTCAAATTTCTAAGGTGAAAAGAGCTCTCCTTTGGTAAACATACAACTGCAAGCTGTGGAATCAGAAGACTAGCCAGACAAATCTCCTCAGAACAGCATGAAGCTGGCAATGCTCCTATTTGAGGCTAAATTCTAAAGACAAATTTCCATCTGAATGCAAGATGAAGCTGAGAGATCTGCTAGTATTCACCATGAGATCCCATGCTTTAAAGTCAGCAGTCAGATCTTACACCTTCCCCTAATTCAGGTCCCAGCGTTTAAACTATGCAGGATCAGTACACTTCATTTCACCATCTTGACACAGATTTTTACATAAAGACACCTTACCTTGGCTGCATAGAGGGAGTCGATGTAGAATCTAAAGTGGACTGAGTTTCCTGGGTGCTGCCTTCTGTACACTGAACCGGTAAGGACTCGGTTATACTACTGACAGAGGCTGCTGGAAGACACAGACCAATGCAGAATGTGTTACACTACTTCCTGGGATTACAAAAGTTACACACTGCAATTACTCTTTGACCCCTATGACACCAGTCAGGAAAGTAATTGAATCTCTGCCTATATCATAATGAAACGTAACTTTACAAAAAAGTAATTATGTTTGGCCATATCTCGATCTCATTCCAGCCCCAGGCCCCTGGAACTTACACTGCGGAGAATTTTGAAGCTGGAGATTTAAAATAGTTACTATTTTTTGCTAATTAAAGCATCGACAAACAGCTTTCTCAGCATAAACTGCAGTATTCTGATGTAAGAAGCTTGGGGTTTGTTTGAAAAACCAAGATGGATCTGTGAGAAACACTAACATAGCATCCTAATGCCAAATTCAGATCCATTTTGAAGTTGTAGAACTTAGTTCCCCAGATTTCAATGCAAGCTTTTTCTTCAATTTAAAAGGTCAAGTTGAAGGAAAGGATAGTACAGAGGGCACTGGGCTAAAAAGAACAAAAAGTATCTGAAGATAAGGAGAAACTATCAAGTGTCTACAGGTTAATCCTTCAGCGTGAGACTGCAGAGATTAAATACCTGTATTTTAAATGCTTTTCACAAACATACCCCAAGGTAAATCTTATCTCTACTGTCAGTAATTTCAGGAAAAATACGTTGGTATTTTTTCTGCATTTTTAGATCTTCAAATTGGAAACACTCAAATGATTACCAAAGGTATTAGGAGTCTAATTCTGAGCAGATTAATCGCAGCACAATCATATTATGAGCATTTCATCCGCGCTCATTCCATGAGGGAGCGCGAACCGTTTTACTCAAGCATCTTAATGCTCCTAACATGTAGTAGTTGGACATGAGCAAGGAGCTGCTGTCCACTGTGTCAGTCTGAGCTGCTCAAACACACGTATGTCAGTGTTACTTACCAGGAGGGCTAATTCTACCATTACTGTTCTGCCTTTGAAGATGTTCTTTGTAGCACACCGAACACATGCCATTTGTGCGAGGATTCCCGTAAAATCCGCAGCCAGTGGAACAAAGCATAGGCACTTGGCTACGGTTCGTTTCTTGAGCCATTTTCCCTTCTTCTATAAACCTGAAATTGATACATACAACCCGGTATTTAGAGGCCTGAGAAAACCTTTCTTTTACAGTTGACATTTGGAAATCTGAAGTTTCCCACAGCTCAGCAAAAAGATCTTCCAGAATAAATGCCTTGTGGGTAACTCAGTGCCCTTCCCCAAGAAGTCTATAAAGTCTGCCCAGTACCACAAATACAGTCATCTGTGGGCTTTGCATGACCCACACATTCAGACCCTCCCAGCCCCACCAATTCATGTTCAATATATACCCACAAAGAAAATCTGTTTTAGCAAATATTGGAAGTATCACTGCATCTGTCAGTCAGGTAAGGGGAGACAGGTGAGGGGGACAACTCAGGTTGAATTCTCCTTGAAACCTGAACACCTAATACTGTGCACGAGAACTGTAAAATGAGAGACCAGCATGGTAACACAGGCTTACTTACTGCATAATAATTATAATTACCAGTGGTCACGTGAATTCACACGTCACTGTTTAGTCACTGCGTCATTAGTGAAAGACAACATGACTTCTTACCACAAACCCCGTGTTATGATTTTTCACAGGCAAAAAAAAAAACAACATCCTTTCAGTCAAAAAAATGAGACCAGGTACACATACCTATTTATCAAGTTTGTGGGAAAACCTAGAGATATATGAGTTGCCATGATATTTAACATCCTTAGATTTAATCTTCAACTGTATAATTTATATGTTTTTGTTCCTGGTTTGTATTAAGAAGGTTTACAGATATTTACAAGAAAACTAGAGCAAATAACCATTTTCATCACTATTCTGAGCCTCCTAATTATTATCAAGTGATCTAACTTGTAAATCAGTTTTGACATCTGTCACTTGGTGAGATGAAATTAATTTTCCATTTTTTGCCCCACTCTATAAATATACAATTGCCCTTTAAATCAGTTTTGAAAGAAAAAACAGTTTCTCATTAAGAAACTATGTATATTAAGGTATCAATTATTTTATTCAAGATCGACTTGGGTCAGTCATTTTATATTTCCTGATTAAAAATTAAGCTGAAGCATGTGTGATTTTAACTCTTTAAGTCAAACCAAAAATGAGCAATATTATTAAAAAAAAAAAGCACATCAATCTTTCAAGTAACATCAGTATACATTTCAAAAGAAAAGAAAAACAAAACAGAGGGAAAGTGGTTTCAAGATAGTTGAATACTTCACCAATTGCCATGTTATAAAACTAGATTAAACCACAGTAAGAAGCACCAGGGTAAAAAAATATTTCCTTTTACATAAGATGCATTTGGCTTCAAATACAAACAACTTTCCCATTACTTTGTTTCCAGACAAATCTCCTCATCTCCTCTCACACCCACACCCCACTGCATTTTGGTTTTATTTCCCCAAAACATATGAAATTGATACCAAGAGCAAATCTCTGGGTTGCAAAGCCAACAGTGACACAGAAACAAGTCAAGTCTTCTGCTCACAGCAATAAGTGACTCTTAGGATGTGAAGGTGTTCAAGATATATGATAAGGAAGATGTACAGGCAAGAAGACAAAATCTGATAGTACCTTTTTCAGCTTCAACCTGCAATTAAGCTTATTTCAGCTGCTGACTGCACTCCCCCACCCCAATATAGAAGCACTTGCTTTCGACATACAAAGCCCCCATTGACCTCACAGGACAGCTAAATTTGATTTTGCTGAAGTACTGTACTTGTAGCTGAAAGACCACTTTCATTCCTGCCTTTCCCCAGACAGCCCTTCAGAGTGAAACTGCAAGTAGTGCATGTGGGAATTTAATTTTTTTGCTGGGTCCAACATTCAGCAAAGCCATTTCAGGGTAGCTTAAATGAAGACGAGTTTTCTGTGCTTTGGTAACTAGAAAGAATTTAAGGATGAAACCTTATGCAAGTCACTCTTGGCATAGAATGTTTAAGATTGAAAGACTAATTAAAAACACTTTCGACTGAGAATTTCAAGTGCTAATAGAGATTCAATGTCACAATACACATATTAATTTTAGGCAGCAGCATATTAAAGAACCCTACCACACTAACTTTCAAAATGTACCACGACTGCCTTTCTGTTCAATATCAGCTTCAAGCAACACACAGGAACTCAATAACAGCACCAGCTACTGCTAATATTCCCCAACACAATGCTGCTGAAGGGACCAGGTGCTAATACAAACACAGCACAACAATCTCTAAGATGGATGTAAAAAGATAAATAATTCTGCTCCCATTCAATAAACAAATTGTGAAAGGTGCACAAAGATGCCCAGATGAAAAACAAGAAAAGCTGGCCTGAGTTCCAGCTAAGCCAGTTCCCAAGTTCATTAACCAGTGGGTACTGTCACCAGCCAAAGCACAAGCCACTGGCATGAGCTTCCAGAACACTTAAATCTCCAAGGGGAAGTGCCAGGGATTCTTCTGAAGAGTTTTAATAAGGGCCACAGGAAGCAGAATATCCTTCATTGGTTGCTAATATTTGAGGAATAAAAAGAAGAGATAGGATCAAACTGATGCAATGTTACAAAGTCAAATGAGAAAGAAATCACACCAACAAAGCAGTTGGTTGTGTTTGAAGGGGACAATTGTGTACAATCCTCCACACCAGCTCCAGTGCTCAGCTGGACCCTCACCCACCCAATTAGTGCCATGAACTACAAAAAAAAAAAAAAAAAAAACCAGGAAAAAAAAAAGGGCTATCACCACCACATACAGTTTTCTGACAGTTCAGTGAGCTCAATCAGATCACATACCAAAACACAAAAAGTAGAAAGCACAAAAAGGAGGAAAACCTCTGGAATTTATGTGAGGGATGACATGTGACCAGGGGGAACAACACATTTTTGCAGCCTGTAAGCTGCTGAGATGGTTGAACTCATCCATTTGAACCCTAAAGCCACAGAATGCCAAACCAGTATAATAAGCTCTCACTCCCTCTCCCTCATGCTGTGCCCTCCCTTTCAGTGCTCACATGCACCAAAATGAAACAAGGAAGTGATCAAACTTAAAGTCAACCACTCCATCTTCTGCCAATTAGTTTCACCACAGACTGGTTTCTCAGCTGGTTTGTCACGTGTGCTGTTTGGGCAGGAGAGAGGGTCTAGCTGCAGACACGTGTGGAGCCACTTGTTTCAGCAGCAGAGAGGCTTAAGGAATTAGGAGAACCACTAGCCAAAAACAGGCATTGAGAGAGATCCAAGTGCTGGCAGTTCCTGGCACTGCACCTCAGACATACCTCTCCCGTACACATCCACTCCCTCCCTCGGGAGGGCAAGGGCCGGGATGACACAGCACTGAGCCTCAGGGACTTCTCCTCCCCACCGCCTGGGCAGGAGGCAAACAGCCACAGGCAGAGCAGCCGGACTCTGTCCCCAGCTCAGCAAACACGAACAGCAGGAGATCATTGAACAGATGTTTTTGGGGGAGGGAAGGACCTCCAATCACCCCAGTTTTTGGCTCAGCTTCAGATTTTTGTCTCAAAACTGTCCATAATTCCTCATGCAGGGAGATCCACAGTATCGCTGAGCCCAAACATCCCATAAGCCAGTAACGGTGGGCAGTTGCTGCTGGAACAGTGCAGTGAAAGGGGCAAGCCCACTCCCACTGCTGCACACCCCTGCCCCTGCCTCCAGTCAGATCAGTTCAGCCATCTGATGGAAAAAACAGGACTATTTATTCTGGTGGACCGGAGAGCTTGCTGATCTGACAGAAGATCAGCTCCAGAGAACTGACATACACTGCACAGGAAGTGACATGTCTAAAAATAGGACGACCCTCTTTAGGGGCAGTCAGCTCTCGCTGAGCATCAAGCCCACTGTAAAATAAATCCAAAGTGCAAGTGCATACCCTATTCTGTATTTCAAAACTGGTCTCCTAGTTTGGCTTCAGTATGAAACTGGAAGCAATTTCATACCTAAAGTGACTGCAAGGTCTTAGGATCAACATGACTACATGTATGTCCTACTTGTTTGAGGTGTCACAAAACAAACGTTGAACTTGTAAGGCTCCTGGAAATGCCTCTGGGCTCTGCCTGTTCCCCCCAAGCTGTGCTTGCACAACATGCACAGGGCAATTCTTTGAATTCTGAATGTTATTCTGAATGCAGAATTGGTTCATTTTAAAGAAAAAAACCCAGAACAACAGACTCTTTACAATATTTTAAGCACATTTCCCTGCTCTGCTTTGCAGTATAGTTGTATAACCAGTTGTACAAGCACTAATGAGAAGGAAGCATGTTAGAAGGAAGTGCAAGAGCCTCAAACAACTCCTCTCAGTGCAACCCCAGAACATCCACTCTGTTGAAGGTTATGGAATAAACTGGCTCTTTTTGCATTAGCTGATAAATTTAAGATGAAATTACCTCAATTTGCTTCTCAAAAATATTTATTGTTACTATAAGCATGGCAGGACATAGCTCTGCAGGCTAAGTCCTTCTTTGGTGCTTAAAGTCTACCCATTCCTGTTCTGGTCATACACAAACTTGATGCATCTATAAGGCCTTACTACTGCTGCTACGGGTCCCACCTTTCCCCCCTCACATCCTCAGAGTAAAGTCCTCTCTGTACCAAGCAAAAATATATAAAGGATGTTCCTGATAGTAAAATGTATAGAGCTGAAGCACTAAAGTAGGGTAACTCTTATGGCCATCAAGTTCCCTGAGGAAAGAGCTACCTCTTCCAATAGTTTGTAAAGTAAATAAAATACTTGTGTACATTCTTTTTCCACAGAGCAAGCACTGCAATACTGGTCTTCCCCCCCCATCTTCTTCTCTTTGTTTTAATTAAAATGTTTATATGCTACTAGTTTCAAATAACTGATACTCTAGCTTTATAGGCTTCAAATGTTAATCAGTAAGATCAGAGAGAGCAGCATTTAGCAGGATTAAACACACAAGGTTTAGGAATAATCTCTTTTCCCCCCTTCTCAACAAGGAAAATAGAAGTCCCACACACAGAAGCCAGCCTTCTGTTCAGCTGTCTTCCCCAAAGAAAATGGTCTCCTAAATTCCAGTTATCCT